CCTGGGCTACATATGTAAACCTTGTCTCAAAATAACAAAGGGGAAAAAGTGTTAACCTAAATATAGGATAATTTGCTAGAAAATTTTAATAATACCTGCTGAATGCTTACATTGTACCAGGTTCTATTCTAAGCAATTGCATAGTCAGTCATTTAATATTCACCACTGCTCTCTGAATTAGATTTTACTATTTCTACACACGATGGAAAAACTTGAAGCTTAGATAAGTAACTTGCTCAAAGTCACATTATCTAATAAATAGCTGAAATAGGACTTCCTGCTTTAGAGTTCATACATTTCTATTATAATACATCTCAAAGAAAAAAATCAAAATACAAAATTATAACTATAAAACAGACTGATAGATTATATTCACTCTTCTTTTGGACAAATGACTATTTTTAAAGGGCAATTTAGCTATAGTTTCAAGGAAGAGATAATTCTCAATTTTTAAAATCAGTATTAAAACATAAAGAAGAGATGGGGGGCTGCCTGAGTCTTAAGGAGGCTGAGGGTATATAGCTGGGCAGTAGAGAATATGCTTAACAAAGTTCTTGGTTCAATATGAAGCAACAAAAACCAAAATTAAAAGGTATGTAGTAAGTGTTTTGGATTAGAATATTCAATATTATAAAGATGACAGATTTCCCAAAACTAATTTAATGTAATTTCACACAAAGTTTCACTGATTTTGTTAAAAGCTGAAATTGACAGGCTTATCATTTTGGAAGTCATATGGAAGTGAATCAAGAACAGCCAAAGGCATAATAAGGAGGATCATATGGAACAAGGGGGAAAAAAGCAAAAACTTGCCCAGTGGTGACACAGCACATGACTGTAATCCACTTTGGAGGCTGAGGCAGGAGGACCACAAGTTTTTGAGTAAAGCCTGGCTTACATAGTAAGTCTTTTAAAAGAGGTAGGGAGATGCCAGATGTGGTGGTGTATGCCTTCAACCCCAGCATTCAACCATCTCTGTGGATCTGAACCAGACTGGTCTATATAGTGAGTTCCAGGCCAGCCAGGGATACATAGTTAGGCCTGTCTCAATAAAAATCAAATAGCACTTTGATTTATAACAACAACAACAACAACAAAAACCCAACACATTTTAATGGGGGAAGGAATGATGCCAAGTCAACCAGATATCCATTTGGGGAAAACAATCGCAGATCAATTGCAAAGGGTCGAATAGAGCTTTTAGAGAAAACATCTTTGTGATTTTTAGGGTATGTAAGTATTTCCTTGGACCATTAGCCAAAAAGAAAAAAGTGGATCCTAAGGAATTTAGGGGATTCTGTTCTTTGAGAGAAACTATTATGAATGCAGCGGCTGCCAGTGAGATGGCTCAGTGGGCAAAGGGAGCTACTGCCATGTCTGAGGGTCTAAGTTTGATTCCGAGGGCCTACATGATGGAAGCATAGAATCAACTCTTGCAAGTTGTCTTCTGGCCTCCATGTGTGCATGTATACACACAGAGAAATGTAATAAAATTTTATTTTAAAAAATGGGCAGAACCCACATACAGCCTAAGGGATGTGAGGTAGATATACAATTAAGGGCTCATAGCCTATATATCTATAGTTTTTTTAATAGCAGGAGAGAACCTGTCGAGGGCCAAAAGGGGCCTCATACTGAGTCAAGAGTTAATCATTGTTAGATGACCAGAATCGCTGCGACTACAAGATGTTTTTTCCGGATAAGCTGCACAATACATGTTGCAAAATGTTCTCCCTTTTCTCAGAAATAGCTGCGGTTCGCTAACAATGGGACCATGGGCTAAGATTTACCTTGCCTCTATTTCCTCTTGAAAATTTTCCATTCCTCCTGCTCCCTTACCCCGCCCTGAGTAAAAATCCCCTGCATATAAGCAAGCTTTACCTTTCAATAAACGAGACCTTGACATTGCACAGACGGACTCTTGTCCTTTCTTGCGCCGCAAGGTCTCCCTCCTCTCTCGCCCTCATGACCCCTTTAGGTGACAACCCCCTCGAGACCCGCGAATAACCTGGCCTGCTGGACGGGTCAAGAACCAATAGAAAACTCATTAAAGATACTACTTCCATATGGAGATACAGAACTGAAAACCACAGAGATACCACTACCCATATACCAGACTGACACAGACTGAAAGAGTGCTAGTAAGGATGTGGCCCGAGGAGACCTATTATACACTGCTGACAGGAGTTTTGACAACTGCTGTGGAATGACATTTGGTAATATCTGTGTAAGACAAATACTGTTTGTAACTCTTGTAGGGTATCTCACACCCTCTTCTGGTCTCCAAGAGCACCAAGAACACATCTGGTACATAGACATATATTCAGGAAAAATACCCATACACATTAAGTATTAAAACATGAAAGAAATGTGCTGCTGAATAAAACAAAACAAAAAGAATTCTAGTAAATTAACTTATAAGAAGCTAGGCTGAGGCTGCAGCATGCTTATTAAGCATGGACAAGCCCTGGGTTCAATCCCTAGCACCAAAATCGTACATAAATACATTTTAAATGTCTGATAAACCTATACATGTAAATCTAAGCAATATAATGTTATCATCGTGGGACATGATGGGATACACCTATAACCCCAAGCACTCAGGAAGCTGAGATGGATTATAAGACCCTTCCCCCACAAAAAAAATGTGTGTGTGTGTGGGGGGGGGTAGGCAGCAAGATTAATAACAAATTCAAATTTAAGTAAAAATATATTCAAAACTCTGTGGTATGTTAAATGTTAAAATGTCCTATATTTGAACAGAAAATACTTCAAAGAACTCTTTCTTTCTTTCTTCCTTTCTTTTTGCTTTATGTCTTATAACAAAATATTTTGTTTAAAGATAGGGTCTTTCATATCCCAGGCTGGTCTCCAACTCACTGAGTAGCTGCTAACATTGAAGTTCCTACGATGCTCCTACAGACACCTTTTGAGAGCTGGAATTACAGGAATGTGTACACCACCTTATCAGGTTTATGTGGTGCTGGGTATTGAATCAAGGGACCTGTTGTGCGTTCGAGGCAAGCATTATAATGGAACTCATGCTCAGCCCAATAATGTTTTTATTTCTTATTTTTATTTGTTCTTATTTCTTATTTGATTTCAGAAATCAAAGAAAGTTGGATAAAAAAATTTCAGTGACCTACTTTTATCTCCCCACATTTCACTCTGTAGCCATTCTTTCAATTTTATATTAGAAATGAATACCCAAGTCAAGTCATTATTTCATTAATTTTTCTCTGATGTCCAAAGTGTATGCTCTTGTTCTCTCTATTGAACCCCTCATACTTAGACCCCTCCGTTATAACATTAAATCATTTTACACGGCAGTCCTCCAAACCCCAGTCCCTAAAACTGCACATCAAGTACTCTCCCCCACACCAACCCTTGGCATACACGAAAGTGTATGTGCATTCCCTGTAGTACATTTTCTGCCACCCATCTTTCTAATTTCATTCATAGCTGAAGATTTATCTAGGGTATCATTTGCTGGGTGTAGTTTTTTATTTTTATTTTTTTTAAGTGCTAAGGTCAGACGACGGTTTCCAAATGAACCTTCCATTGGCAGTACATATGCCAACATTTCACATTCTGTACTGTACCCCGCTCTCCCTCCCACTGTTCAGCCCGGGGGATTTTTTTTTCTTTTTCTTGTCTTAATTCTCTAAAATCTAGTTGGCAGAAGTAATGCATACATATTCAGTTCATGCATTCACATTCCAAGGTGTGGGTTTTCACCTGTCTGATGGAAAAATGGCATTAAAAACACTAGACTTTATTTTTTTAATTCAAGATGGCAGAGGCATCCTAAAATAGTCCTACACAAAAGCGTTCACATCCAAACCAGAGCTTCGATTTGGAACTGGCTAGCTACACCTAGCGAAATAGCAAGGACAAAAGAATGGAACCCAGGTGCTGAGATCCCAAAGCCCTCACTAGTGGCCACAGGTCTCACACTTAACAGATCTTAAACCCAGACAGAAAACTGGCACCTGCTGCCTGCATTCCAAAGGCCACGCCTTTGATGTGATCATAATGATTAAAACCGGAGGCACTCCAGGATACAGACCCGCAAAAAAATCAAGGCTACAAGGGAGCAGATTAAGTAGTATAGTGAGATTCCGCACGTTTCGGCCCCGCCCCAGCGAGGCGCAGCCCGGGGCGGTGCAGTCATCGGGTAAGGGTCCAACAGGGCTCCCGCCCAAGGGCCGGTCAACTGAGCCAGGTCTGGGGATTCAAGGGAGGAGATTAAGTAGTATAGTGAGATTCCGCACGTTTCGGCCCTGCCCCAGCGAGGCGCAGCCCGGGGCGGTGCAGCCATCGGGTAAGGGTCCAACAGGGATCCCGCCCAAGGGCCCGTCAACTGCGCCAGGTCTGGGGATTCTGGTTGAGCCTGGGGCAGAGGCCAGCCGCGACAGGACCCCGCGGGCTACACCTGTCAGGCGGCTGCAGCCGGCATCCCCCGAAACAGAAACAGCAAGGGATTGGTGACCCAGGCCCGCAGGCGCGCGTCACCCGCTCCCTCCTCTCTGAATCGCTTTGCCGCCTCGCTTTTCCTCTAGTCCTTTTTAGACAAAGACGGTCCACACCCCCCCGCCATTTCCTCCTCACCTCAAACACCACCTCTTCGTCAAACTCCGGTGTCATCCTTCTCCGCCATACCACCCGCCTCAGCACGATGGGAAATGAAGGAAGGAGGGCAGGCGGCACCCAGGCTTCTGCTCCTGCCCACCTCAGGGGCGACGAAAACTACAGCTTCCGGCATGCTCTGCTGCTGACGCTCCCTTCCGATC